CCCACACCCACTCACACCCACACACCCACCCACACCCACACCCACACCCACACCCCATATATACTATTTAGTTGGTAAGTTTTCATTCCTGTATGTACAACTTTTATTATTTTATGATTCACAAAGACACCATTTCTGTAATGCATACACAGCAAGGTGGAATTCCAAGTTGACAGTAGTAAAAATCGGCTTTAATTGCAGTATCATATAAGTTTCTCTTCCTTGATAATTGTTTGATATGTACTCAAAAAAGGTAAGATATAAATGTCATGTTAGGGGTAATATGATATTCCATGTCATTCTATGATATTGAAAATCATGATAGAATCTCGGAAGTGTTGTTTTATGTACTTGAAGTATTGTATATAAAGATGTTACAGCTTCGATTATAGAGAATAAGAGGAATAAGGCAATAAATAATACTTGTATAGAATTCTATACTAATCAAAGACAATTTAATATCTATGATTACAATCATTATAGGTTTCTAGCTTTCAAAACCAAAATTCTGACAAATTGAATTTAGATTTATAGATTAGATCAGATCTATTGTCATGTTCAGTAGAATATTAGAAAATAAGCTCTCAGGATAATCTTTGCAAGATCAAATTTTGAAATACAATTTAGTCTGTTGATTTTCAGAGATATAACTCTATTAATGCACATTCTGTGATGCAGGGACACAAATTGTTAAAGAAAATCTCTTATGCCTATGGCGAGGGATTGACTGAATTCAAATCTCTACTTTTATCCTTTATGACTCTTTTTACATTATGTTTTACAAAGTTTTTATCTTAAATCAATACACAAATATCATTCATATAGAAATATGTGAGGTTTGAAAAAAAACGGTGCTTTTATGTACCTAATTTGTTATCAAGCTTGAACGCTTTTCTTGACGCATTATCAAATTTTGAAGTTATGAATTGAAATATTATTATATTATTTTTTTAGTTTAAATTCTAATTATTATAAAATAGACAAAACATTCTTATGATCTACTAAGTTTCAATAATTCTGTTTGTTTAAACAAACACAAAAAAAACAAAGTATATTTTCTTTTACTTTTATAAAGTATTTTTCTTATGAGAAAGTACAATAATTTTAATTAGAATTTAGATTAATGTAGTTTCATTTTTGTTTCTATTCTGTTGATGATTAAGGAATAATGACAAACATGAAATATCAGCGTGTGGGTGTGTAAATAATTGTCTTAAACCCTAGAGCGACACTCTCAAAATAGTTGATAGTTTTGAGAAAAAATGAAACGAATCACTTAAAACAAAAAGCTAATCATAAAAGAAATGTATAATTTCATTTCTGCTCATTTCTTTTTTTTTCTATTAGAAAAATGAAAAGAAAAAAAATCCAACAAAGTTACCATAATGAATGTAGCGAAACATTTATCAACTTCTAGATTCTTTCTTTTAAATATCAATACCATTGTGTCTGATAGGAATTATAATATTGCAAAATAAGATAAATGAACGAAGACGAACAGAGAATATTATTTATTTAATGACATATATTTCACATGTAGAGATTACTGAAATTCATGCTCAAATCGACACTATTTTTTATTCTTTTATTTGTACAATTTAATTATCAAGCATGGATAATTCCTAATGTACTATGATGAGCAATGAAGGTTGACTTTTGACCAATGTCTATATATATATATCTTTTGAATATTGAAAACTTTCTATTTTTCTATGATGCAAGTGAACTGTTTTTTTCTTTTGTACATTTGTTGGTTGTTATAAGTATGTCTCATTCTGAATTCTTGTCTCTCAATATGACGAATTCTTTTTAGTTTTTTTCTATGATATAAAATAAAAAGTAGAAAAGATACTCTTTCATGATTATTTCTTTATTCCGCATCCTATCATTATTGAAGTTCACTTGATAAAAGTTCTAAATAAATTATTCAGATCTATTACTGAAATAATTCAAATTCAAGTCAGAAACATATTAGAAACAATAAACAATGCGATCATATTTAACTTATAAAACCTGTCAAAAATGATTCCTATTTGTTGTTCTTGATTTGTGGAAATAATCTGTTACTCATTTAAGAAATGAGAAAGTTTCTTCAATTTGAATCCTTTTCCCAAACATCTCTTAAATGATAACAATAAAAAAACTCATTATACTTAGCCAAAATTGCTTGCATTTATCGAATAATCTTGAAAAAAAAAGGATAACTTTGTCTCTCGCATTTTTATAATTATGAAATGTTTCTTTATAATAATCAGATTGAAGTTTGAAAGAAAAATATATCTATAGTAGATGGTTGACGCGTAACTCTCGTATAGACGAAACGATTTCTTTTTTTCCTACACTAAATACTAAGAAAAATATTTTAAAAGTTCCTTTCATAAATTCGAGAGCAAATTTCCGTGAACAATATAATATTCAGTAAATTTCAAAGTCCTGATTGTATTTTGAATATCGCTAATAAATGATTGTTTCATATGTATTGGGAGACTAACGAAGAAACTAACGCTGTCTATAGACTGAAGGATATTTACAATTTAGAAAAACTGAAGTGTAAATAGAGGTTACTGCCTTCATTTAGTGACAATGATTGAAATAAAGATAGCTCTTGATCTCACTTTTCGTGAACTATTCAAATCTTTACTTTGACAGTTTGGTTTTGCCACATAGTTTTGAAGACGTTCATCGTCTGTTATTCGATTTTTCTGAAAACTCGTACTAAGAGGTAATTTCTTTAATGGTTCTTTATTTTATACACGTTTTTTTTTTATTACTGTATAGGAAAACACTTCTATATTCAAAAAACAACTTATTGGAGAAAACCTTCTGAATGAGTAGGAGATATTAGAAAAACGAAAACTCCTATACCCCAGCCTGACATATTCATCCATTTGAATAAAGTTGCACCGCACATTTCGATGTTTGCAAAACGTAGAATCTTTATAAGAGTTTTGTAGAATGTATAATTCTTTGGAAAAGTTTATAAAATGGGAAATATTTTTTCAGAATTCCATAAGAGTTTTTTATTTTTGGTTCAGTTTATGGAATGAAATATTTTCTGATCTAAAATTAAGAGTATCGCAAATTAGACTATATAAAATTGACTTTCTCTACGTGTTTAGAAAGTTGTTTGTGAAATATGTAAAAATCTAACAAGTAAATGATTCTCAACTGATCCATAGAGACATATAACAATCGTAAAACAATTAATTAATATTGCTGATATTTAAGTGATACATAAAGAAATATATTTTTTTCTTGAAGTTATAAAAATACTTGTTGTATTATAGTGATTAGCGCTGGACGTTGTTTTTAGATGAAGAGAATTATCAAATTATTTTCGTTCAAACAAAAAAAAAAAAAAATAAACAGAAAATTGAAAAATCTAATATATTATGAAAATCTCTTACTTATATATATTTTAGAATTAAATATAAAAGAAAAGATAGTATTAAAGCGAGAAGATTTTGCACAAGATGGAATCTAAAAAAATTTATATTTAACATGAGTGTAGGTTGATGATCTATGAACAATATATACTCCTACTGCCATGCCTCACGCATCATTTGTCATCAACATTAAGAATTCAGAATAAATTTTATTTTTTTATTATACCAATATCGTTTTTAAGTAATACTAAAGAAATTATCGACTTTCGTCAAAAATAGAAACTGCTTGTAAACTTTTACATGCTATTGAAATACAGCTGTTTCTAGTATAAATATCATATTCTAGTTTCGAATAGATTCAAAACTTAGTAATAGTAACAAAATGAAATTCAATAAAAGGAAAAATATTTTTTAGTTATATGTAAATTCTAATAAATGCGTCAATCTCTTATCGATATGTAACCACATGGAATATAAGCTAATTTTTTATTTGTTTGTATTTTAACATTTGTACGATTTTCTATGAACTGATCGTCGTCAGTTGTAATATGTTTTTTTTTTCGTTTATTCCTGCCTCTAAACAATAAGAACATAGAATGAGAAGCATATCAATAAATAAATTTAGTATTTTGTTCTCTTATTTGTTTCATTTTTTTACGCTTGGTACAATAATATTTTCTTTTTTTACCATCATAATAATTTTCCACCGTTTTCTGTTACATTTATTTGTGCCAGATCATTTGAACCGGCTTTTTCTCTTAATTCTTTAGCTCTAGCATGTTCTACCAAAACAATAAAAATTTTTCTTGTATAAATTACTTTGTTGTATGCACTCAATTATTGTAAATATCCATTATAATAATAGTACGTAATAATGCTTGCTGCATCTGTATAGAAAAATTCTGCTCGAACAAAATGAATTTTCATTAACAATAACTAGTTATTGATAATACTAGAAAATTCAACAATTTTCTTTTAAGATATTAGGTAAGAGTATTTTATGTACTTCACATAAATTATTGATATATGGTATCAATTTTTGACAAATAAGATTACAATTATTAATCGATCATAAACATTGCAAGAATAAAAAAAATCCAGCTTCAATCATTTGTGCACTTGATGGAACCAAATGCTGTTACCAATAAGAAAAAGTACGTAACTGCACTTTTCAAATAAAATCTACTTCCAGTAAAATATTTGATATTGATCTAAAATCCATCGTTTTTACCAGTTGAAAATTCGAATTATTTTCTTCTACATTCAATACAGATGCATTCTTAATAGTATTTCTATGTAATTTGCTACGTCTAAGTATATTTAATGATAAAATTGGTATTATAGAACATATGAATGAATCTGTGCTCTCGATCACCTGTATATTCAAAACCAACAGATGACATGTAGTCTAAAGAATGAATGCTAAGTCGTTTTATTAATTAAATCATGGTCTCTATTCGATTCGTACTATTGACAAGATTTTGAAATCATTCTTTTTTCTTATAGCATGATTTCACTAAATCATCCATTAATTTATATTTCTTAATTGTATTACTTAAAGATCTAGCTGGAACTTTGACAACGACCGCCATTGTGCTTTATCTATTTAATAAAATATAAAAGAGATAATATTCATATTTATATAGGATTTGAAAATGTATTTTGCAAGTTTAAACTGGTTGTGAGAAAAAAATGCTATAAATCAATGAAAACTATAGAAATTTTTAATAAAATTTCTTACTAATATCGATGATTTGTATCTTTTTCGAAGTCAAAACTGATGATAAGATTTAAATCTTCTACTTTGAAAAATGTAAACATATATGATTCGACTCAACTAGCGATTTTCTCAATTCGAACTAAATAATACATCAATTAATGCATTAGAATGGAAGTAGTATGATTCAAAGAGAAATCTAAATTGTTAATTATTAAAGTTGACTCATACAGTGGTAAAATTTATTTCATTAGTGTAATTAACTGTTTTATTTGTGAAATGTCATAGATTTTATTGTTTTGAAATGAATCAAAGTTCATCTGTAATCATGCAATCGAAGAAATGTAGACCAATCTTTTTTGTGCTTTTAATTTATTGTAAATAATATTATGTAGATTATCAGCAATCAATTCGAGTCATGTATGTTATTTTTAAAAATATCTTTTTATTTAATTCAAAGATCGATCTTTCTATTCATGATCAATGAAGAGATCACTAACAAATTTCTTTTCCTTTAAATTGTAAACAAACGATAAAATTAATAATCAATTAAATTTTACAACTGACAAAAAGTAAAATTCTAATTCTAATAAGTTCTTCAGAATGTCGGGTGTGAATGCTGTTCTTTTTTGAACTTCACATGCATACTCTGAGGGATTGTACATTTCTTCGCCGAAAACTATTTCATAGGTTTGAGAGAAAAACACACTAGATCAATAACAAATGTAATTGCATCACTAAACGAGCTGTTACATTATACAAAAACATATGAAGAGAGACAAAGAAACGATAATGATCTCTAAAAATGAATAATAAAGTGTACAATTAGCAATTGTATTTATTGAATGAAATTATTCCTTTCATTTAAATTCAAATTTGTAGGTTGAATAAACTCTTCAATTAACAAGTTTCATGCTAATTGCTAGTCCAGCATGAAAACAATTTTGAAAAATCTTTTTTTTTTAATCAGGTTTTATTTTTTTATATAAAGTAAATTATAAAAACTATTTTGGGTGTGGGTGTGGGTGTGGGTCTGAGAGTGGGTGTAAGTGTGGATTTGGTTGCAGGATGTGGGTGTGGCTGTTGAGTGAAGAACTACACGCGCACCAACACCCTCCACACACCCCACACCCTCCACACACCCCACACCCACATCCACACCCACACCCCACCCCCACACCCTCACCCACCCCCACACTCAGACCCACACCCACAACCACACTCACACTCACACACCCACAACCACACCCGCCCACACCCACACACCCACACATCCACACCCACACACCCACACCCACACCCACACCCACACCCATACCCACACCCATACCCACACCCACACCCCACACCCACACCCACCCACACCCACACCCACACCCCACCCACACCCACACCCCACACCCACACCCACCCACACCCACCCACACCCACACCCACACCCCAGATGGAATCACATGGAAGACAATGCAATTCAAACATTAATTAGTTCAGTAGGGTGTGTGCATGTGGGTGTG